ATGCGCGGCGCCCAATTCAGTAGCGATCCAAAGCTTGTGTCATTCCTTTGGAACAAGAATGCTGCCGGGGTTCCCTACTGGAACGCACAAGGGGGCAACTTTCGGATCGAGCGGCGGCTGCGATCGGGAGTCGACGTGTCATTCACCTTTGCTATCCAGGAGGATTTTTCGCTGGTCGTTTTACGAAGTATCGCGGCAGGACCGCTCGAACCTTGCATCGGCTTTGCCCCCGCAGAAGATGATGATGATGAACCGGATACGACACTGGTATGATAGTAGAAGCTCAATCAAAGAATTTCTGTGTGGATTGTACTGTGACCACTTCTGAGAACATCTCATCACACGCATGTTCAACCCGAGGGAGGACGGCCGACCCACTGCGCACCAACCTCAACCTCGTGATACTTTCTGAGCCAATACTATATGAACCGATCAAAGCGCTTTGCACTCATACGTGAAGCCATGGATATGCTGTCCTTCACGGATGCCGCCGTCAACGTCCGGGTTGTGTACCGAGCAAGGAATGGTAACATCTAGGACAGGCTGGAAATATCACGTCTCGAAGGACGCAGCATGTACCGTGTAGTAAGTCGGTCCACTGGTGCATCTGTGATCCATTCAGGGGTGTCCAGCCAAGTGATGCAAGACCTTCGGGCTCTCATCGATCGCAACTTCGACATCACTTGGATCTCGATAGTGGGTTGGGGCCGGTATCATGGACACGAGGATGGTGCATGGCAGGATGTGATTCTTTACCCGGGCGAAGGACGTGTGCCCCTACCACAGCGTAGATTGAGGATTGATGCCTGGAGCAACATAGAAAACAGCCAATACAACCTCCCCGGCATCCCTTGGAGAGGAGCATCGAATGTAAACGAAAACGAGAGCGATAATGATTTGGGAAACAATAACGAGTAAAGGGATGACGCAAAGTTTTGTTGTTCTTTATAAACAAATGCGACGATCACAGCGCTTTGCACTTATTCGCGAAGCGATGGACATGCTGACCTTCACGGACGCCCTTGTCATAGTCGAGGTCGTGTATGAGGAACGCAACGGTAACAACTGGGATCACTTGGAAATAAGGCGTTACGGAGGGCACAACTTTTGGGATGTTTTAAGCATCAACACAGGTGAAACTGTGACTGATTCAGGGGATCCCAGCCAAGTGGTGCACGATCTCCGAGACCTCATCAATCGCAAATATGACATCACGTGGATTTGCCTGAAGGGTTTGGGGCGGAATAGAGACATGCACGAAGTGGTTTTGTATCCTGGTGGAGGCCGACCCTTGCCACAGCGCGAACTGCCAAGGTTCTAAGTGCTGAAACCCGCCAGAACAGCCAGCCCATGGTGAAGCTGAGCCTTTGAAGATATAGGTGCTGCGCTTAGGAGCCGAAGTCGATGAAGCTTCACGAATTTCAGCTAGAACTAGCGGATATCTCGAAGTACTTTCAAGCACGCAAGGAGGACGAGGGGCTGACATTTGATGAAGAACCTCTTCTATCACCTTTCACCCCAACCCTTTGAAAGCTAGCAAACATGTTTACAAGCTCCAGACAAAGACGGACGCCACACAGTATGTTACATCTGTTTGTGCTTTCCAAGAG